GAATGATCTAGAATAAAGGAAGAAAACACATACACCTGTGATTTATGAATATCATGACAACTTTATAGCTTTTTAAATTCTTTGGGGATTGAATAATTGTATTTTATATAGCACAATTCTTCCTTTATCACCAAAAGGAAAACCAAGAACGTGAGAATATTCACTTTAGAAGGCCAATCTTTTCTCCCCCTTTTTCTGAATGCTTGTAAAGTAATGGGATCGGATCTGCATGTTTGATATGATGTACTTGTCGGAGGCGGATCCGGAACTTTTATCTTATGGGTTTAACTTTTAAAGTTTTTAGCATTAAACCCATTATATTTTTAAAGTCATGGGTTTATATCTACTATTTTTATAATTTTAATAAATTTTTACACATAAATTTTTACTCCGCGTCAAAAGTTATGGGTTCATCTGAACCCGATGATACTACAATACATCCGCCACTGGTGCTTGTGATTATAGCTTTACAAAGTGTGAAATAGGTGTTCCTCTTTGATACTCGTAAAAGCTCCTGCCTATCGATCGTGACTCGTGAGATTAATTTGGGCTAGGGCCACATGGACGGAGCTAGAGATCCGAACCCTTTTTTCCGGAAATTACATTGCATATATGAGGTCAAAAATGTACTTTTTTATGTATATATAGTATATGTTGTTTTTGTGTGCATTCACTTCTTTATATTTTGAATCTCTTAGTGAAAATTCTGATTCCGCCACTCTAGAGGAGGATCGAAGAGTTTGTTTTTAAAAGAATTATAGCTAAAGACTTGCTAGTACTTTGTTCTTAAGAAAAAATACATACATATTTATTACTTAGAGAGTCAAAAGATATTGATTTATATCGCGTGTATATATTGAATCCCAATAAGCACATTTGAAGGTATATTTCATGAAGTAAATTTTAGTTTCTAAAGAATATATTAATTTATGCTCAACGTTAAAATCTGGTAGGTGTGCATCGGTCATCTCGCGCCTTTGTGTTACTTTGAAGAAATTAAAATGGTCAACGCAATCCTAGAACTTATTCTTCCTATTTGAGTTGAAGTCAAAGTTGTAATATAAACTTTGTTAGTTGGGCCAAATCTGTGATTGGACCCTTACATTTGTGATTGTCAACTGTAGCCCAATACTCAAAATTGTGTGGGCTATCAATGTATTGGGCCATCCCTTTTTTCCAAAAAATCTCAATCCATTTTTTTACTCCTCAAAACAGTCAACCCTTCTTGGAAAATTGATTTGTGGATCAAAATAATTGAACAAATTAGAAAGAAATTGCATTCATCTAGATGAGTAAATAATCTCTAGTTTTAAAGATGGCTTAGTTTACCTTAAACGACAAATTATTTCTTAAGTGAAACGGAAAAGAATTTGAATGAATACTACGGAAAGAGAGTAAACTATTTTATTGGAAGCGAAACTTATTCTCTCTGTTAGCATTTAAGATTTACATAAGGAAAACAATTGATTTGGCGGAGATCTTATCATTACAAATTTTCATTACATTGCCAAGAACCAAACAATACAACTCAATAACATAAAAATTTAAAAACTTTAATGGGCCAAATATGCCCTCAAAGTATGCGCGTGAAACCAAATATGCCTTCAAAGTATGGGGTTGTTTAAAATAGGGGTTTTGACACAGTTACCCACAAAAATAAAATTATTTACCCTTGTCTACCCATTTATTTTTCTACCCATAAACTAATTACATTTCCTACCCATAGTAGTTTTTGTGGGAAATTTTTTCTTTATTCTCCAATTCTTTTTTATTTCTATGCTTATTTTCTTTTTTCCTTTTTTCTTTTCTTTTCTCCTTTTCTTTTTTCTCATTTTCTTCCTATTTTTTAATTTTTTTCTCTTTTATTTATTTATTTTGCCCAAATTGTATTATTGCTATTTTTACCATAACTTATTTCACACTCAAATTTGACTCCTTCTTTATTTTTTTATTTTTATTTTTTTCTTTATTTCTTGTTCCTTTTTTAATTACACGTGATTGCCATGCAAACCTTGATCTCCTTCCCTACAAATATTAGTACATACTCTACCATTAGCAGTAACACCAACCAATGATCGAGCAAGACAATATAATATACGGCCACTAAATCTCCATATATACTAGTTACAATAGAAATGATAATAAAATATTAAAAAATGCAATAAAAATATCAGTAGCAAAAAAGACTTCTAGTACCACATGATACCAATATGGTATACATGTATACCAACAAAGTATATGATTGCTCTAGAATATTGCTACAACTATCTGTGACTATACTACTGTACCAAAACATTAAAGGATACAATAAAAGTATGAGAAAATTACATGCTCGCATTGCAACTTGCTCATTCCATATACTAACAGGGTATATAGTTGTATGGGACGTTCCAACAATTGCCTATAATTATAAAAACTATTAGATAATACACATAAACTATATCCATAAGCACAAATTTTTCCAGCACTGCAAATCACGTTCATATAAATAATTTCATAATAGAATTCACTTAAAAATGCAGCCAAAACAACCAAAAAAATGTTCAAACTACCATATGATACCAATATGACATATAACTATACCAACATGGTATACAGTTTTACTGGTTAATTTCCGGCAACTATATGACTATACTACTATTCCATAACACACATGCATAAAGAGAAAAATAAAAAAATAGTGTACCACATATTAATGTAATAAAGTATTTCAAGATATTGAACTATATTATTATTATTAAAAGAAAATCAAATATTGTACTAATAAATGCAGCTAATACAACCAAAAAATAATTCAACTAGCATATGATACAAATATAGTATATAGCTATACTAATAGGGTATATAGTTGGACAGAATTGTATACCAAAATGGTATATTTGTATACTATTTGAGTATACAATACAAATTCGTCCTCTTCTCTTGTTTAGCTATATTTCAACCCAAACTTTAGCTACAACCTCCAATCAACTTTCCAAACAAACCCATATAGGATCGGATCAAAATAATTAAAAACTCAAACAAACCAAGTTATGAGTTTCAAGCTTCAAGGTCCTTCAATGGTGGATTTGAATTTTTGTGCAATAAATCTCCAAAAACGAGTTTGGGTGAAGAGAAAGAAGAAGGTATTAGTGAGAAATAAGTGTGAATAGCCATTGATGATGAACCCCAGAATACTACAATAAGAGAAATCATTTTAGAATTAAACCCCATAATAGAAATGGAAACGAATTCAAGTGTTAACTCTAGAAAACTAATGGGTT